AAATGGATACAGCTAATACCCCTTAAGTGTGAACATTCATTTCACGGGGAGGATTTGCACACATTCTGTTAGAGGTAGTAAGGGAATGTTTCATTTTAACAATTTAATGCTAGTGCTGTCATAATCTTCTGTTTTCCTGGACTCACAGTCCACTTTTGCAGAATCCAGCTTTAAAATGCAGGCCAACATTAAAGGATTTTGAAATAAGGCGAAAATGCTCTTGTTTCTCTTTTGAGTGGGTCCTTTATCTTAGTATCTTAAGAGAACCACTCTCTTCTCCAAATCCCTTCTCCCCAGGAGGAATCAGCAGGGACATTGTGACTTATTTGAAAGTTAAGAGGCTGAAAAGCTTTAGAAGGAGGCGTTGTAATCTGCTATAAAATGTCTGCAGGACAGAGGCGTAGATTAGGAGAGTGGTTGGTAGCTCTCCAACACACAGGAGAGAAGCGTGAGATGATTAGATTACTCCCAAAGTGTTAATCCTGCAGCAGTGAGGAAATTTTAAAAGGAAAAAATAATCCCAATCCTTGTGTTTACGCCAGATTAACGAGTACAAAGAGTTACAGTATCTCATGGCTTTTTGATAAAAGTATGTGAAATCTGAGGACGAATCAATTATTTGTGTCAGTGGTGCTTTCTGTTGGAAGAAAGAAACCAAACTGCATTTTTGAGTCCTTCCTCCCCAAAAAAAGGTTGTCTTCTGTTCTTTGTACATTCTGCTTTGAGGTCTTCTGATGAGGCTTTGTTTACTCTATTGGTGTCCCCAAGGAAAAGCAGTGATACATTTTTATGAAAATATTGGCTCTTGCTGTGCATGGACAGGCTGATGTTCTTACCATATCTGTAAATCTGTGTAAAGAAAGGATATTTTTAAAACCTTCCTGTGCTTTTCCAAGGCTTGTTCATATTTTTTAAAAGTCTATAGTCTTGGCATTATACTATAGAAGGGGAAAGCACCTCTTGTTACAGTAGCAAATCCAAATAAAACCTGGAGTAACATGAAGCAGATATTTGCTCATCAGTTATGGTGGGTTTTGGTGTTTTTTTTTCCTCAATATACTGGACACTTGTGAAGTACAAACAATCAAGTAGTATTCAGAAATCAGCATGTTTATGCTCCAAGGCCTAAAATACCCTTTTTTACATGAAAGGATGGTGAACTCCTTGTGCTTATTGGTTGTGAAACTGTTACAAATACATAGTTTACTTTCCTGTTTTAGGCTGCTGAGGACCCAGTCTCTGGATTGGTACTATAATAATGTCAAAAGCCGCTTTAAGTGTTTTGGAAGTGCCAAAGTCCTGAAGAACTTGTACAAGAAGCATAGACTGGAGAGTGGAGGTAAGAACTGTTGTGTTGATTGCTTATTGTCTTACCTACCTTAACATACAAGCAGAAACAATGGAAATTCTGAGACTGTTCCCAAATAGGCATTTTTTAAAGGCTATGCAGTGGAGAGAAAAAAGAAGTGAAGTGAAAAAATTTGGCTAATATGGGATACCTGCAGTATCCCTGTTGACCAAAACTTAGGTTGTGCTTGCTCAAAGTCTTGCATGCTTAAGGATCTGAAACTGGCCACATTTTATTTTTGTACCGATGTTTATAAATGGTTACAAAATGCAGATTAAGTACTGGCATCACCCTTTGGAATGAAGAGACATGAATCTCCCTTTGCTGTGGTGCATCACTCCATGAGAAGAGTCAGTAACTGGGGATACAAAACGGATTGGGAGTGGCCTTTGGTGTCCTACTGGTAATTTTAGCAAATTACTCCAAAGACAGCTAGCTGAACATTTGAAATTTCTTTAGATTTGTTGGACTAGATACTTTCCTAACATAATTCTTTTGACATTTGTACAGAGACTGTATTTTTTTTTCTATAGTCTTTGTCTTTTTGTGAAATTCTGAAGAATGGTATGTTGACGCTCCTCAGTGGAAATGTTAGGTGTTTCTTATGAAAATTGGCACAAAAACTTCAAGGGAGAAGCAACCTATACATTAAACTCCAATTTTTTAGTCATTCTGCTTTCTCTGTATCACATTCATTTTTCTAGAGAGGGTTACTTAACGGTTTAGAAACAAACAGGTATGAAGGCAAGAAAATCCGTGTCAGTGAGGGCAGAAGTGGGGCAACAGAATTAAAAACAGTGGGCATGGATCCTTCAGAACTTGAATGCTGTGTGTTGGGTTTACTTAAGCCATAGTATCACTGAATTTATGCTTGAGTGGAAGTGTGAACAGTACTGTGATGAGTTGCAGTGGCATGTGCACACTCTGTGAGACCTTTCCAAGCAAGACCTCTGAGTCTAAATGTTACTGCTGACTTTCTTCTACCTTCTGTGCGACTATTTGGTAAATCGTTTGTTCCCTTTGAGGATAAATACTAGTATACGTGTCTGGGGTTTGGCTTATTTATACAGTGTTGCCCTTTAAAATGCAGAATCAGTTTTTCAACCCCAAGTGTCATATTGAAGGCAAATTCCCTGTGCTTAACTTCTACCGTGTCAGTTTTGTACCTAGCAGCTTCTTCCTCACTCTCTCTCTCTCTCTCACTATACAAAGAGTTTTCTCCATTTTTCTTGGAAATGAATGAGGGGTCTCTTATGTAGAAGCAGTCATGGTTTATACAAAAAGTAGGAGGAATTTTCTGGTTATCCCTCTTTGTGAGCGGTGCCACGGTATCCTGAGTGAATATTCTAATCTAATAAAGCCTCTGCTGTTAATGGATATTTCTTACACTGACACACAGAACTGTTCTTTTTGAGCAGAGGGAGGTTTTTGCGAAGGAAGCTTTGAAAATGAAGGAAGCATTTGTGGCAGTGACTCTACATTCTACCAGCAGACAGAAGGTATGCTGCTAAAATACTTGTTTGATTTAAATCACAGTCCTTACACTTTGAATTACTGGACAAATAGTAAGCCTTGTTCACAATCCAACAGTTTCTTAGCTGAAACATTTAGCAGGATTCTGAAAATCCTTTGTGTTACCACGCTGGGATGTCTTGCTTCAGTATTGAAGCTAATACATGCTTGTTCTGGTGTGATATGCTTGTTGTTCAGGTTTTGTTACTTCCCCGCCATTTCCTTTCCTTAGGTATTTTTTTCGCTCTCTTTCATATATTCTGTTGGTGGTTTTAGGAAGTTTACAAGTTTTCTTCCTACAATGTCCTAACTATTTTGCTGGATTCTAAAATTACTCATGTAAAAATACTGTGATTTAATGTATTTAATATTTTACATTCAAGTAGTAACAGAAATTGAAACAGTTTTTTTGACTTAAGGTGTTTATTTTACTGTGCATAATTATGGATTGAGGAAAGGAACTTTGTCATGAACAACCTAACATTTGAATATCTGTCCAGAATACGAGTCTGAATTTTGAAACTCATTATGCAAAATATACACATAGGAAGAACACAGTAGTTTTATCTTATTCTTTTCCTAGGACACAGCATGATGGATACCCTTGCCGTGGCTTTACGTGTTGCAGAGGAAGCAGTGGAAGAAGCTATATCTAAGGCAGAGACCTACAGTGACAGCCTGGTAACATTTTTTAAGAAAATGTGTTAGTCTAAATAGAACAATTATGTTTCTTTTAATTCAGGTAGTGGTACAAGTAGATGCAAAAGTAAACATAAAGAAGTAGCGACTATCCAATGGGATCCTGGGGTGCATTAAGAAAAGTGTGTCCAGCAGGTCTAGGGAGATTCTCCTCCCCCTCTACTCTGCTCTGGTGAGACCACACCTGGAATACCATGTCCAGTTTTGGGGTCCCCAATTTAAGAGAGACAGGGACCTACTTGAGAGAGTCCAACGGAGAGCTATGAGGATGATTAAGGGACTTGAACATCTCTCCTGTGAAGAGAGACTGAGAGAACTGGGGCTGTTTAGCCCTGAAAGGAGACGGCTGAGAGGGGATCTTTTTAACGTACACAAATATCTGAGGGGTGGGTGTCAAGGAGAAGGGGACAATTTCATGTCAGTGGTGCCCAGCAACAGAACAGGAAACAGTGAGTTTAAGTTAGGACATAGGAAGTTCCACCTCAACATGAGGAGAAATTTCTTTACAATGAGGGTGACAGAGCCCTGAAACAGGCTGCCCAGAGAGGTTCTGGAGTCTCCTTCCCTGGAGACTTTCAAAACCCACCTGGATGTGTTCCTGTGTGACCTACTGTAGGTGATCCTGCTCTGGCAGGGGGACTGGACTAGATGATCTTTCAAGGTCCCTTCCAACCTCTAACATTCTATGATTCTATCACATGCACTACCTCTAAAAAGTTGGGTGTGGGTTTTATAAACTTGTGTCTGAGGTGCATGCTGCATTTCAGAAGGTGACATGCAGTATAAATACCTCTAATTTCTTCCCACTATGCCAACAAGGCACCCTACTCATTTCCTTACTTCCCCATATCTGGGGAAATACGTTTTTTATGTGATTTTAACAATGACAGGTAATCATTTTCTTGCAGGACAAGCAGAATGAGGCTTGTTACTTGCAGGAGCACAAGGAGGACCTTATAGAAGAACTGGCCACAACCATCGTGCAGAAGGTATTTCATGCTTTTTTTCCCTAGCTTGTTTAATAGCTGAAACAGATCTATTTAGTCCGGTGAGCTTTAACTCTACTAACAGCAAAAAGGATGACAACAGTGTAGAAAGCAGAGTAAATGACAAGTTGACGCTTGAGCTATCACAGCTTAGTCAGCGATGTCCAACAGACTAATTTATAAATAAGCTTCATCCACTACCTAAACCTCTCAAAGCTGAGAGGTACCACTCCCTCAGGTCTGGGATATCCTTGTGTGGAAAAGGAGGCCCCTGCTTGATGGAACTTTACATCTGTACCTTGCTTCCTAAAACGCACAAAGTTTTCCAGCAAAAAGGAGCCCAGCTCTTGTCCACACCCGCTAACAAACCCTGCATCTGCAACATGTGCAAAGGAAATATTGATTAATAAAGTAGAATTCTGTTCAGGCTCCTGTGAGAGAGACACCCAGAAAAATCACAGAACCCTTTGCATGTCTGATTCTTCTGGAAAACTCACTCTTCTCCCTGCAAAGCTCACAGCTGATGCAGCAAAGGAATGGGGAACTGATGGGAACAGATACCCCTTGAGTTTGTTTGAACAGTCTGGAGTGCGGTGAGCATGAACCGAGAGGTACGGAGCTCCCATCATCACTAAAGTAACTGCTCTTCAATATTAATCCCCTTCCATGGGACCCAAGCTAATTGACACATCCGTGTATGGGATGTGGCATTTAACGGTGTGTTAAAGATGAGGAACGTGGTGTTGATGAAGCTATTGAGAAAAGCCAGAAGAGCAGAATATTTAGGAGGTATTTTGAACTGGAGTCAGAAAAGTTGTGAAAATTAAATGTGGCAGGATATAACCTGTCAGTGTAGGGAGACGGTTTGTATGATCTTCTCTCTTTCTTTAGTTGGTTGATTTTCAAAACCAAAATAATGCCTAGATGCCTAAGACCTCTTTGTTTTCAGCAGAAGTGTGTCTAGATGTCATTGGGACCCTTTGAAATTCCCCTCATATCTAGCATTTCACATTTCTTTGCAAAAACTCTTGTTGGAGAAAATACTTGACACTTGGATGCCGCTAATGTTTAACTGTAGGAACAGGTTTCCATGTTTATTTAATTCACCTTTGATGTTCCTGCAGGCTTTGATTATGATTGATTGTATCAATGTTTATGTGCTTGCAAGCAATATGACTTCAGATGAGAGGAAACACATACAAGTTGTCAGAGTCATCCTTGCATGAACTGGAAAGAAAGCAAAGGGAAACTCACATGTTCTTCCCAAGGCAGTTTGCCATGAGATGGGATTAACGTTTTCTCCAAGCGCCTCAGTATTTTCCAAGCACTGTTGTTTTTTACTTCCACGCCTCTCCCACCCCCTGTCCCTGCTACTTTACAGATTATAAGGAAGCAGAAAAGCAAATCTGTGCCTGCTGAGGCTGACTTTGAATGGCCACCATCCCGGAGCAGTGGCCTGGCGTCTGTCGCTGTCTCAGATCAGAGCATGCTGACTTTTCCAGGGAGCCGCAGGGGTTCCTACACGTTATGGGTGAGTGACTTAGCACAGCTATCCATGTATTTTCCCTCTGCACAAAACTGGGAGGTTGAAATCATGGATAAGCATAATTCCTGCCTGGAATGGTACGTGGAGACTCACAGAGAACTTTCCTAGCGCATCGTACATCACAGACATTGTGTTGGGAACAACTCAGTGTGAGATACGAACAATCTCACTGCTTGATTTGAATGCTTGCAGGACTCAATGACTCAGTGTTTATTCCTTAAAACAGTTTTTGTGATCACTTAGCTTTTATTTGCATTTTTGCTGAACGTTATTTTTCTTGTACAACAGTAGATTTCTGCAATGTTTTTTATCTCTGCAGCCATCCTCAAGAAAATAACCACCAGCAACAACAAAAAAGTAAACCCAACTGCAGAGCATCATTTATATCTTACACTAAAGAGTATTTCCTCCTTCTTGCACATATTTTTCAGCACAATGCCTTCAGCTCCTTCTGTAAAACTGAAGAAAATCTGACAAGCCACATTAGTAACATTTTAAAGGCAGCAGCAAGGGAAAGGAAGTGAAAGTAAGCTATGGGCTCACATTCTCGTCCCCCACCTATTTTCAAATTGAAGGAGGAGTGCCTTTAAGCTGCTGGTGTTAACTAAGCGATCGAAGTGAGCATATTTAAGTGCTTCCCCCTGTAGCTCCTGTGCCACTTGCTTGCAGAACGTAGGAGCCAGGAGAGGAGTTAATTTTTTGTCCAGCTCAACTGAGTTTTCTTTTTGGAGTTTAAGGACAAGACTGAAGGGAACACACTGTTCACATCTTCAGTCATTACACCAGGAGCCTATTGCTGTTGTGCATTTGGGGAGTTAAGCCTGAACTCAACACATTTCGAAATTCTGAAGAAGCCTGAGTCCCATTTTTTTACCGGAGGGAGGCTTGCTGATTTGAGAAATCGTAGACTTTGTGAGAAACACTGGAGTAGCAGAAATGTCATGAGAAAAGCGAAAATGGAGAGCTTCAAAACTTCTGCAGCCATCAGCCGGTACTAGAGATCCAGATGTGTACAGTGCTTTCATAAGGGCTTTCTACCTCTATGGAGTCTTTCTCTGCGTTTGTCACTGTTTGGTCAAACTGTCCTCCCACAGCACATTAAGAAACAGTTTGGCCATCTGGTCTGGATTCTCTCACCCCTAGTGTAAATTCAGTTTCTGCATTTTGCTTTGCTATTGTTGTTTTATTGTTTTATTTTGTGCCTTTGAAATGTGCATGTGTTTGATTTTGCTTTGCTTTGAGTAGAGGAGAACTTTCTTAGTATAACCAGACACCTTTGGAAAGGGTTATACACAATATCTCCCTGAAGTGTATTATTGATTGTTTAATCACAGTACTGTGATGTGGTAGTAGCTATAGATACTGTATTTTCATTTCTTTTTTTTTTCCTTCCTCTTAGATTTCTTTGAGATCCCTTGCCCATGCTAAAAATAGTGATACAAGGCTGAATATTTTATTCCCCCATCTCATAAAGAGAGATGGATGGCACCATCTGTTTCTCATCACCAGTAAGCCAAGGCAGTACAATGGTGGAGTAGGAGCTTAAAGCAATGGATGGATCCTTCTCTACTCTCTCAGTCCATTTCCCCCCACCCCCATACATCGCTGTCAGTGAGAGAAAAAGGCCAGTTGGCACATGGAATCCCTTTAAACATGGATGGAGTGCAGGCATCCTGGTGTGCTCTAAGTGCTGGATTAACGGTCTTTATTTTACAGCTAAAAGATTGTATGTATAAACAGAAGCTCATCCATAATTTATAGTATATAAACCATCTAGGGATATAGGGAAAAGGAGGATTTCATTAAATACACGTTATGATACACCTCAGGGGAAGCAGAAGTTTACTGGTTAAGCTAATTGTAAGGCCCACAGTGTACTGACAGTTTTTCTTTTTCTTCCCCCACTTTGATTTGTTTCAAAGAGAAGGAAAGTTCTGCAAGGCTGAGGTCCAACGCTGCTTTGGAAATCCCCGGAGGTTTTGCAGGTGCTCTGTACCTTTGTAGGTTTGTCTCAAATGTTTGAAGAAAACACTTTTGAGGAGGAATTCTGTTTAGCAGTCAGACGACACAGTGGGAGAGCTATTTCAGAGGCAGGAGGCATACCGCTGTAGGAAACTGATAGCAGCTGACACCAGTTCTTACCTGTCAACGGCTGTGTATCAGAAACATCACATTTATGTCTAATTAATAAATGTGTCACGTCATAGGAAGGATGGGGCTTTTAGCTTTTTATGCATGAGCTGGGATCAGAGGGTTGCACAGAGCATATTGCTGGGACGTACTTCCAGTGAGGCAGGCGTGCATTTATCCAGAAGCCCATCAGCTGGATCCTAACGGATTATTTACAGAATGGGAAAGAACAAGATGCTTGGAGACAGAGAAGCGCTTGGTCCTTTAGAAAATAAGGGGTCTTTTTTTAATTAGTGCTTATTATGAGAAGATCCGACTTTCTCTCATGTCCATGGCTCTATAGTAATCGGGCTGGTTTCCCTCCTTCCACTGCAGCAGAAGGATAGGATGCTACTGCTTTTGCCGTTCTGACTCAGCAATTACTGCCACTTTTTAACGCTTCAGGTGGCTAGATAATCAGCGCAAGGCTAAACATGACAGCATTATCCTTTTTAAAGTTGCTCCCATGGTCTGAGTTTGTTCAAGATTTATCTCTAGCAGAAGATTATTGATTCTCAGATTCATGGTACTAGTCATGCACTTGACAAACATCCAAGACGACAGTTGTGGATGCTTGGTATATGATCAAGCCCATACAGGCCTAAATTCAGCTCAATTGCATTTACTGCAAGCAAAGCAAGATAGATTTTAAGGCATAAAAGGCAGCAGAAGAGAGGAGAGAGAAGAGTGGTCGTTCTATGATGTTGTTTTCCAAATAATTTAGGTTGCACGTTGTTCTTTCAGCTTTATTTTGTTTTAAAGAGTCAGTCCTGCTACACTGCTGGGTATCACAAAGCTTCAAGGTCCGGCTTAAAACCTGTGATGCTCAGAGCCAGGCTGCCTGACAAATTCTTACTGTATTTTTAGGTGAAATCAAGGTTCGTGTTGTCATAGCAAGAAGCAAATAAACACAGAACACTTAAGGCTTCCTCTGTCCAGTGGGTGTTTGAGTACAGTGATTCCCTCTGATGAGTGAGTGCTCTGCTAAGCACAATTTGTAGATAAGGGTCAGAATAGGACTTGAAAATTTGTGCACGGCATTCTCTTGGGGTGGGGGGGGGGGCAGGGAAAACAGGGATGGGTTTGCTGGGGAATAACCTCCTGCCTCGCTCGCTTGAAACCTGTCAGCTAATCCAAACTGAACCAAACTAAATACAGCCCCCAAAGTGGCTCCTCCTGTAACTACACAGCTGTGCAACTCTTGCTGCTGCTGGACTAAACTGAGTGTGCTGGATTAAACTGAGTTTGGTGGGTTTTTTAACTCCTTTTAAAGGAACAGTACTTTTAAGGGGATTGGAACCATCCAGTGTCTGTGTGAACCACAAGCCAGCTTGGGCAGACCCTGGAAGGACGGATGCTCCAAGGCTTTTGCAGGGGAGGGAACCGTTGACTTTGCTTTCTCTCAGCTTGCTATTCAAGGATTTGCCCTGACGGCTGGGTTATCCAAACCAGGGTCTAGGTCAGGCCATGAAGGAGGGAGTTTTCTTTCAATCGATTGTGAAAATCTCCCATTCATCTGCCTTTGTTGGTTTTGTTTTTTGGTTTTGGTTCTTGGAAGCTATAGGGGTTGTTAACAAATCCTTTGCCACATACAAGATTAAGTAAGGAACAGCTGATTGAAACCTTTGATATTTCACTGGCACCACTGAATGTCTGAGCAGAGGGAAGGTCACTTCCAGGGATAAACAGACTGTGGCAGTGGCAGCATTCTCAACCTCATACTCAGTTTTACTCACTGAAGGATGCATTAGCTGTCGATACTTTAGATTTGCCACTCTATTTGCTGTACTTATTCTTTCCTTGGGTCAATTGTATTTGTAGAGCATGGCTGAGAAGGGGTTTTGCTGCACCATTAGCAGGCACGGCCCTTGGATTTGCAGTGAGGTTGCGTTTTAAGTCATCTCTGTTGGTGCTGTCAAGTTCTAGGCTGCTTCCCGGAAGCACCAAGTTAATCCTCAGAAGTCCTCAGCATGGTGTTGAGGTCCCAGTGCCTGCCAGGGCTCCTGAACCCGGAATTCTCAGTCCCTCCTGGCACAGAGAGAGTCCTTGATCTACTCTAAATAAGTGCAAAGTAAGTCATGGGTTTACTAGCTAAACCAGGCTGAAGGGAATAGCGGAGAAGTGCGGAGAAAAACACGCGTGATCCTGAATATCCTTTGTACAGTTCAATCAGTTGCTTCTGGGATCTTTTTTTAATTACCACTTTGGCTTCTCGTTGTAAGAAAGAGGAATTACCCATACTCTTTCATCTTTCAGAGAAGAATGTAGAGCAAAACTTTTATATTTTCTCTTGAATAGATTGTCTTTCTAAACAATGTGCATACATATAAGATGCATGTTTTTTTTCCCGAATAATTTAGGTCTCGTGTTCTTTCACCTTTATTTTATTTTAAAGATGCTCTGTATCACAAAGCTTTAAGGTCTGAATTAAAACCTGTAATGCTCAGAGCTAGGCTGCCTGCCTGGCATCTAAGATGTGTATGCATGTCAATAAGATATGTAATATCTCTTAAGATTCTCTCTTAAGAGAATCTCTCTCCTCTCTAAAGTGAGTTATTCAAGGTAAAGGATCCATAGAATACCAACATTAGACTCAATATTCACAAGCACGTTTTATAAAAAGTTGGTCTTGTTTTATTTATTCAGTGCTCAGAAACATGAATGTGTAGGGTGTTATAGACAGAAGATGGAATATTTATATTTATTGAGTAATAGCAGATGTGTATGACTACTTTTTATTCCTTCTTTAATCTTGAGAAACCACATTGTCTTTTTTTTTGAGGGCCAGCAATGAGACAGGACTGTGCATGCAAAAAATTATTCCTTTTAGTGCTAGCCTAGAGGAAGGCTGAGTACTCCCCATCCAGACGTTGTAACTATGCAGCAGAAATCCTCTGATGAGCGATTAAAAAAGGAAAAAATATAATAATGTGTCTGGAATTTCTTTTTGAAACAAACATCCATGCCAGCAGGCAGGATTTGGTGGGGAACTCACCCTAACTAAGGTGTTAGGAAATGCCTGTCAATACTGTAAACTCCGTTTTGCAGGCTTGTGCAGAGGTCTCCCAGAAGTGTGTGCTGGGAACACAAAAAACCTGTGGGCTTGCAATGCCATCTGCTGATGGCCGGATTTATTGCAGAAACGAAGAGCTGCAGTACCTTAGGGTGTGACTGCAAACATAAAGGGCAGGCCTGTAATGCATCATAAATAAATGCACCGAAAATAGCATCAGGCTGAGTATTTGCAGTTTTTGTGTTTTGGGGTTTTTTTGGCTTGAGGTGCCAGAGCTTCTAGTTAGAAAAGGTGCCGGTAGGTTTAGCTGTGAGGGAAGGATGATCTTGATGTCCTGTGTTTTTAGAAATCAGGACCAAATCTCCTAAGTTCTGGTCTCCCCGTGCTGTAGCTGTAGGGCTGAGCTGAAGTCAACGCAAACGTGCCAACCACACAGAGGTTTTGCTGCATAACCTTGTGCCAAATAACTAACTTCATAGTTTCCTCTTCATTGCAAAAGCAACCAAAGGAGATCTTGAGTCATTTACTTTTCAGAGTCATCAGTGAGGCTGGTAATGAGTTGGTGATTAACTTGTGGACAAACGTTCGCTTTTATACCAATGTAGACTGATTTGTTCTCTTCTGTCCTGTTCCTATGCCAGGCTTGGCTATTGACACTCCTTTTTTGTATCATTATTGACACTGCCAGTAATTTGAACTGCTATCAGGGCAGAGTGTTTACACTCTCTTTCCAGCCATACTTATCTGAGTAAAGCACAATTCTGCTATCCTTCCATCCCTATCTAAAACTAACTTTCAGAAAGAGAAATAACCTAATCTTCTACTTTTTTTTTCTTAATTGGAGCTTATTAGAATTCTGTCACTTCTTGATCACTTAAATCTCTTCACATATAAGAACTACAGAGAACTACAAAAGTACCGGTGAATAGTGCCAGTTTAACAGCCTCTTCCAGCAGCATCATTTCATCTTTTTTTCAGGATCTGAATGCAGGGCTGCAGCCAAGCTATTTCGCTTGACATTGCTTTTCTCTTCCTTGAGCCTTCTGTGACATTGAACTACCTTCAGTGAGAAGAGGTGCTACTTCTACCAGAGCAGTCCAAGACAGGTTTTATCAAAAGTTCACAGAAAGTATAGAAAAAGCAAGGGGATGGCCTCAAGCCAAGCTTTGGAGGCACCGAAAGCTTTTGGAAGGATTTTCCTGGGAATTAGCGGTGGTTCCTGCATAATAGCAATTTCCTGCTCTGCACAGAGGACTGGCAGAAACTGTGGAGAGCAGTTTCCCTCTGCCCTGACCCAAAAATTCCAGCACACTAAAAGAGTCAGCTTTTTTTAGATAAGCTCGTTTGGATAAGCTTATTTGAGATCTGCTGCTCCACCACATGGGACTGTATCTGTTTTCTTTTCTATGCTTCCTTGTTCTTCAGGGCTTTTTGTCCATCAGGCCCTTCATGATTGTCTTCTCCTTTTTAAGTCCTTCAAGCTGTTGAGTATCTTCTAGTCCTTCTGATACTGCAGTTTCCAATGCTTCCTGTAGAAAAAACATGTTACTCTCATTATCTGAGCCCATGTTATGATTAGACAGACTACTGAAGTTTTCCCTGACTTTTTTTTCTTCTCTTTCTTAAAATTAGGTTCTTTAATACGGGAAGTTAGATACTAGTGATTAAACTATATGTTATTCCTTCTTCTGTGATCTTCAGCATCTCTTATGTCTCTTTGTTTGCCATATACCTGGGAAAAGAGTGTGCCCTGAGGGAGTATTCTCTGTGAAAATAGTGACAGCCACAACAACTCTCTGCTTTCAGTATATAAGTACTTTGACACGAAGATACCAGTGGATGTGACAGATGTGAACTGGACCTAATTTGTTGTAAGAATGAGAAGTTTGGTAGTTCTTGCATTACAACAAGGTGAGTCAGGGCACAATTAAAACATGTCACAGTTTAGGCTGCAAATTTATGGCAGAATTGTATTTCCCGTGTGTCCTGGCAGGATGAAATCCAAGTTTATGAGTAAATTCCTAGAGAAAAACAGTTCATGTGGCTCTGTCTATTGTGCTAAATTATTAACCCGTTTACCAGGTGAAGGAGGATTTAGATGATCAGTTGATTATCTAGTTTGACATTTGAAACAGGTTTGTGAAAGTGACTTGTCTGAAAGATTCCCTATAATAAAATTAGTAAAATTTTGCAGTACTGTGAGCTTATTGTTGCTAGTTCACATCACTGAATTTGAAGGGAAGCACTCCAATGCATGGAGTTAGGAGTTAGACAACATTAGGACCATTGTCTTTGCGTGGACAGGATTGACCAAGTGATGCAGCCATTGCAGTTACAGACAATATTTGATTCTAGGACAGTAATTCTGGCTTTTTCCTCCAGACTTCAGAAGCCAGACTAAACCCTAGTACTTAGCTGTGTTCCTTTTTACAGAATCTGTTATGAAATCACACTGCTGAGCCAAGGATACAGGAAGATTTGCAGTTAATTAAATTTTCTGGCATCGTACCCAGGTCCCACACAGGAGCGTTTCAGACAGGAGGAGATGCAGACAGAAAAGCGGTGTAGGTGTTGCTCTGAAGTCAGCAAGACTCCCAGCAATACTTTTGCTGTCCTGGGAACTGAAGGAACATAAAACCAGCTGAGAGTCAAGTCATACTTTTCCTCTTCTGCACCAGCACAAAGCAGAGCTCTGACACAGGCAAAGACTGGCCCCTTTGAGATTAACAGTTTTAGTTAATTACCTGTAATTTGAACATCAAGAAAAATGCACAAAGATTTGAGAATGCCAACTTGGTCTGTGTGAAGAAGCCAAACCACTTGAAAATATGCTTTTTTTTTTTAACCCTGTCATATATAGGCAGTCTTTTACCAATTCTGTTAGGAAGGCTGAGACAACAGAGGTTTTGAGGACTAAAAAGTTGTGGGAGAGATCTAATTGTCATTTGAAAAAGTGGTTTCTCTTGCTATTCAAATCAGCTGCCAGCTTTCACTTTTTTCTTTTTTTTAGACTGCATGAATTTAAATGTGAATTCTGTAACTGACCCTGCTGCCTGAGTCAAAATATCTGATCCACCTTCCCCTTGGTAATAGTCAGAACTCATTAACAACAGTATTTTACCTCATTTTGCCTTGAAATGTGACCCTGCTATAAACAAATAAATGAGCAATTGTAGGCCCTGCTGGCTTCATTAGCAAGCCTGCATAAAACTGCTGAGCAGATCGTGTGATCTGTGTGTCCTAGCAAACAAAAGAATTCTGCATTAAAATCGGATGAGTTGCACATCTATTTCTGAGGGGACAGGCTGTTGGTTTGCTTTTTTTTTTTTTTTTTGGATTTTTAACTTCTTCAAATTGTTACACCAGATGGCCTGTTGAGCCAGCAATAGACTGTCATGTCTCACCACAACAGGATCTCTTTCTGGCTAGCTTGAGTCGAAGCGGTTAGATATCAGTCCTCACCGAGCTTATTCCTAACAACTTCACCTTAATTATTTCTTTCCATCTGGTCTGCGGTATCATAAACAAGTTCCTGTATCCTTGCATAGCATCAGAAATGCATATAAATAAGCAATCTAGTGCTGAAACAATTCTTTTAAACACCTTAAGTGCCATTGCTGGATGCTAGCAGGTCCCACACTTCCACAGGTAACTGAATATTCATACTAATTACAATACAGAGTTTGGTAATTAAGTCTGTCTTGTTTTTTACATTATGCTCTTTGATTTCTTTTATTCCCACAGAGGTCTCAGTCTGCATTCTCCCTGGCTAGTGAAGATACGCCTGGTAAAGGACTAGACCCTGCTTTGTCTGGGACTGAGGCTCTTTGGAAGCAGCAAAAAGGACAATTGAGGAAACAGAAGGAAGGCAAGCTCTCTGCATTACCCAGCTGGAAAAGTGTGGACAGGCTAAATGAATCAAGTAAATATTTCTAGTCTGAATGTGATTGGGATTTTTTTGGTTCTCACGCACATGTGGAATAAGTATGACTTAAAGCAAGGAAGGACCTTTTCCAGGAGGCTTCTGCTGACCTCTGTTCTTGCACGGGTCACATACAAAAATGTCTGTGTGGTGATGCTGAATGTCATCATTTCTTTCAGATGTCTTTGCTTATCTTACCTTTTATTTTATTTTACTTTTTCCCAATAAATGTTAAAATTTGTGTCTTTGAGGAGTTGATTCTGGCCTGTTGGGAAACAAACAGACATCTCATTCGGATACTTCAGAGCTTCTAAGACACAGGAGCCCAAGGGCCCTGCTTTGTCACTACTAAAATTTGACTAAACTATGTATTACTTTGTGAACTGATCATTCAGCCCCCTGTCAGAAGTGTCGTTCTCCTGGGCATTTTAGTGCGATGCCTGTTTTCAGTAAGGCAGTTAATTGGGTGCTTAAATTTAAGGGCCCACTTCAATCTCGTTGAATTCAACTGTTGAGTCTTTTAGTGCTTAACAATTGCCTAACCACGGCAGAATGAAGGATTGACCCAGTTTCCTTTCAGGTGCCCTACTCAGAGGATTTGTTCTGCTTCTTTCATCTAAGAATCACATTTATGGTGGGATTGTGGTGCCTGTTGAGCTTATAGTAAACAGCTGATTGTGCTAATATGTGTGAATGTGATCTCACCTATGCAGCCCTGCATTAGGATAAAGGAAACAAGTCTCGACCAAGCGTTTAAGTGGTAAAGTCAGTGGGCTTTTTAGTCCCGTGGCTAAAAAGCAGTTTGAAATTTATTTTGATTCCAGTTCCTGCTGGTTTAAATGAGCCAAATTGTAAATTTGTGCTATTTTTTCCCCTTTACTAATAGTGTCACAGTGAGACTTCTTAAATCTATTTCCATTTTCACATGGATTAATTATAGCATATACCCAGAGAATTGCGTGCAAAACCAATTCTTTCAAGTAAATGACTTTGTTTTGGAAACTCAGGCAGGGAGTGTTGAAGCTGGGATAAAACTGAGTCAGCTTTCTGAATATCAAGTTCTCAGTGGCATTCCTTTCCACCCTGCTTACCCTCATAAGATCTGTTTAATTCCTGTCTTTTCTTAGTTAACTGAGGATGTTTGGCCGATTCTCGTGTGTTGTTGCTAAACAAAATTTTTGTTGTTTTGTTTCCACAGATCCGCCTCCCGTTCTTCAAAGCACTGATGGGAACTGGGTAGCTCTGCAGAACGTCGCTTTGCCTCGTCCTCGGATGCTTGCCAAACCAAAGAGTCAAGTGTTCAAAGCTTTGGAGAATGAATCCAGTATTGTGTCTGCCTACGACGAGATGGGCTCAGACAGTGAGGATGACTACGATTGGAATGTGGCCTTGAACAAGCTGCGTCGGAGACCTCGTCAGTTAGCAGATGATTTCTATTATACTAGTTCCCAGTATGGCACTGACTGGGTTTATGGCAATGACCAGTACCAGGCAGCCACCTCCCCTTCCTCTGGGTTATACACCAACACTGAGACCCTGTTCTCCGATTCGGAAAGCTCGTCAGTAAACTCTTCCCAGGAAGCTAAAGGACCTAGCAAACTTCTCTGGTTACAAAGCAGAACTCAAAGCGATGAGCCCAGAATGGAAAAAAAACATTTCCACGGAGAACTGGATGTAAATTTTAATCCACAAGCAACCAACTTGGAGTATTCGGACAGCAGTGGGATGGAGGAAGTCCCTTATGGTATAGAAAAGAGATCCAAAAGGTGGAGGAAGAACAAAGAAGGCTCTGAAGAATTATGTGAAGACAAAAACTGCACAAAAGCCAACAAGATGAATTTAAGCCAGGTAGTTGTTTATGAGCTTACCAAATGCATTCTCAAAAAGAGCTGGGCAAAGCTAATTAATCTATGCTGGCAATAATGTGTGGATCACAGATACTGACTAGTCACTGTTTTGTTGTGTTGTGGTTTGGGGGGTTTTTAAGTACTTTGTTCTTAAAATAAGAAATGACCCTTACACCTGGGAATCTTTTGCACGCTGTTTGCAAATGTCCTGCTAAGAGATAAAGTTAGGAGCAGGAGAAATTCAGAAGGGGCTTTTTTTTTAAATACTCTCCAAGTAATGTCTGCTTTTAATTGTTCTTGGCTCTGGAGCCTCCAAGATAGTACTCTGCTTGCTTGATTTGGGAGCTTCTATTTTTGCTCGCTAGGATTCTGCTGAGTTAGCAGCCACTTGCATGCAAAGATTTGGACAGTGTGTATGAGGAAAGGTGTATTTCCTGCTTCAGTGTCTGTGAAAGGACTTACAGCTTGCATAGGAACTCTCAATTTTCTTTTAGTGAGTTGGAAGCTGTGTTTGTCAGGGGTAGCCCTTCATTCTTGTCTGCAGATGCCAGTATTATTTATTGCTGATAGATGCCAATGGGAATTTACACAATGATTTATAAGAACACAAAGATGTCATTAAACTTACCAGAATAGAACCAAAGTGTGAACAGTAAATAATAATGAAGTTTAGAGATAGCATCTATTAAATGCATCATAATAATAGTACCTTTCAGTGTATTTATTATGTTTTATTGTTATCATGACTTTTAATACAGTTTTAGATTTGTTGATCTGTGAAAGAGATATCTCCTCCTGATTAGTTCACTGCCACCATCTGGAAATCTCAACACAAGCAGCCTACCAGAAACAAAAAGCACAAAGTGTAGCATTAGAGGGTATCATTATCTCTGTGTGTAAGCAGGAACTAACAACTCTCACAAATATAAATACTCCACCTGTCCGTTGTAAGGAGGTTGGGAAGCAGAAAGGTAGATAATAGACATACCTGAATTAAGCTGGAATAAAATCAGTACCCTCTAGGTGGGTGTCCCCCCCCTCGCAAGAAACTATGTGTATTCGTAACACAAATCTAGCTAATGTGGAATAAAACCCTAGGGATGCCAAGGGAGCTTGTGACTTTCACCCATGCTGGCAAACATAGCAAAAACGCCTTTCAGTTTCAAAGCCAATGAGTTAGGAAAATTCTTTTATGTATGTTAAAGCCTACACCACTCATCACAACCGTGTAAAGGACAGGAAGGTGCAATAAACTGTGTTCTCCTGAAATACAAGCATACAGTTTAGCCATGCTTCCTGTCCCGTAAATCCCATAAATTATGATTGTTTCTCTCCTGTATACAAATGGATGAACTGACTGATTCAGCAACAGCTTTCAGATTTATTTTTTAATAGTTTAATGATATTATTTTACATTAGCAGATTGTTGGGCAAGAGGTGTAATAAGTTGTTGAGTGACATGCAAGATATGTCTGAAAAAAAATTCTTACAATTTGAGCAAGCACCATTGTGATAAATACAGAATTTTAATTAAAAAGGTGAAATGGCACCAATATAATGCATGTATTTAAAAGTGTATCATAACATGCTATAAAATTGAAGTGGAGACACATTGATGTGAAATCTTGGTCTTAATCTTACTCAGAACAGCTTTGAAGTTCATTTAGGAGAAAAGGCTTTTTGTTCTGCAAAAGGTGATTGTCTGGGAATAGAATAAATTTCAGCACAAGCCAGTGGTTCCCCTGCTGCTGTAGCTAGTCAGGTACTTTCAAACCTGGATTTTGTAAAAGCACCTTCTGCATCCTGAAGGTGGCCTGTGTGGACCTGACTGAAGCACTAAACCAAGTGTGTAATAATCAAAACTTTCTCTTAACACTCAACAGGGAGAGGAAAATGTTTCCAGTTAATGCTGTAGAAAGAGCAGGTTTCCATAAGAGATGCCAGTTTTTCTTCATGGACTGTAGTCAAAAATCAGGGAAAAATCATGTCCTAATCAGATAACACAGACCCAGAAAATTAATTGGTACTTATCCGGATGTTAGTTTTTGGAACAACCATGAGATATTTTTTCAGATTTTGTCCAAGGGCTCACAAAAACACCCCCCTTTCCACATTATGAAACATAGGGCAGGTATCCTGATGAACAGTCTTGCAAAAAAACCTTTGCTTTTCTTTGACTCAGCATCCAAAGTGACACTAATTGTATTTAACTGAGCCTCTAAGTACTCCCCACCTTTAAGGATCCAAGTGTAAGAAAAGAAGGTGCTCCTAAAATTGAGCTTGTTCCGTGGAGGTTGGCATTTGGAAGATAATTATTGCTGTAGAGGATCCACCTATGTGAATAATCACTGGGAAAGCTGAAAATCTCAAGTGCCATTGTGCAATAAAAGAGAGGTATTTCGAAACTTCTTTTTCCAGTTTTCAGAAAAACACAGATAATGCTCAAGACCAAGCAGTCAGGGAACTCAAATGCAGCTTTTGGCTGCAGTTATTTCATTCTCACACTTCACTTTCTTAGCACTGTCTCTGAGAACGGGATTAGGAAATGACATTGGGACATATTTTATTACTTGCACACAGTTGCATATCAATTTTGGTAGTTCCTTTCTGCATAACAGAGAACTAAGCAGGGATGAGAAATATGAGCGAACAAGTATGGGTTTTATTTGGTTCGTTCCTCTGTAAAGACATGGTGGGGGGTTTTTATCAGCACATTTGATGTGCTTGCTTTTCTAGCTTCCCTGCAAAGTGATTACGTTTTTCTTGGAAGCTGCTTGGTTTTCTTTCTGTGCCTATACAGTAATCACTGTCTTCTAATTTCTTGGTAGGATTTTGATGATTTATCAGAGGCAGATATAAGCAGTGAGGATCAGCATCATAATATCAAGCCTGACCTTATGGAAGAGGAGGTTAAATCCAGGTTATTTCATCTTGCTGCTAAAGTGAGTGACAAGGAAACATCTTCTGGTGAAGAGCAAGAGTCAGAAGCTAGAACAGACCCTGGAAACCAGAAGGAGACTTTGTCCTCAGAGGAAAATGGCAGAAGTATTCAGGAAGAGTTGAAGAAGGTAAGTGATCGTTGCAGAGGAGCGAGGACAGTATTGTAAAAGTTGGAGTCTGGAAAATTAAACTAGTTGCTCAAAAAAAAGTGAGGTCTGTTGCAATGGGTCTGAGCCTGCAACCCTTGTACTGGTAAAAGTTCAGTTAAGGTGCAGGCCCCCAGTAGCAATTCAAAGCAGTGAACGTAGCTTGTGAAATAAACCTATTAAGTGACTGATAATGGAGTTATTTCAGTTTATACAGACAGAGAATTAGCCTGTATTTTTTTATTTAAAAACATAGCCAGTTCTTCTTTTTTCCTCCTTGCTAACCAGCTAGTTTAAGTGATTTTTTTCAGTCCTTTTATTTGCCTCTCTTTTTAGCATCATGTAGTTTGTTTTGATGTCATAAATTCTTCTTTTGTGTCTCTACTGGAAAATTTTATGCTTTTTTAAAGCTTTCCAACCCTGTTACTCTGTCACCTCAGAGGCCTCTGTGAGCAGTAATGTATTCCAGGGAAGCTGAAATCCAGTGTCAGTTCTGATAATGTAGGAATACAGAATAGGTTTCCCAAAGAGATTGTAGTGCCAACATCTTTGGGGATAATAAAAATTTGACTGGACACAGCCCTGGGTGACCTGATGCAGTTGACAGCAGAAGGGTTGGACTAGGTGATCTCCAGAGGTCCTTTCCAAACTTGTGTGACTCTCTGATTCTGAGTTATTTAGCCGTGAACTACATGGCAGCGGAAGTACCTTTGTCGTCGTGTATACAAATACCTCCATGATGTACACACAATGTTTCGAAGAGTAATGCAAACTGGTGTTAGTTGATCTTTCCTCTACTAATTTTATTATTTCTTTAGCATTTCTCAGTTATTCTGAGTAGAATTTCCTTAAGTTTAAAAAATAAGAGACCTACTGTGTTCTGCAAAAAAAAAGGAATACTTGGACTCCCTAATTCTTTATTGGGTTTGGATGAACAAAAGAAGTGTTAGCCATTCATGGTCACAATATATATTCCTTCTGTCAATAATGAAGAAACAAAAATATCCCAGTACTATTCATGGTCATGACTTCAACAGAATTGATGGTGGAGCTTGCTCCAGCTGTAAGCAATGGCTGCTGCCATTCTTACTCTAGACAGTTGTCCTTAAAAGTGATTTAAAATCTTCTGGCAGATTCCTTCTCTTTGGAAAGGTGGCTGGCCAGCGTCTTACAATGAGATACAGAAGATGACAGGGTGTAATACCAGCTGTGGCAATGGTAACCACAAATAGGAGGACAGAGCTGAGCTCATAAAACACGCAGTACCTTTAAGATGAGTAGATGGCATGTCTCGATGGAGACAAGCATTACAAAACTTATTTTCAGGGAAACAGTAATTTTAAATGTCTTAAAAGCCACATGTCCCAATATAGTGTCTCTTCAAGAAGCTTGAGTTTTGGAAAATGCCTGTGTAGGGTACTATGGGTCTTTCAGACTGACAGCGTTCTCAGCCAGAGACCCAGACTTCTGACCTGGGCATCCAGTTTCAAATTAAGTGTTCAGAATCATTCTCAGCCATTAAAATGAGACCTTGAGTGCTTACAATCTGCTTTAAGCTCCTGAACACAAATCAACTACTGTTTTTTAGCCGTATTGCTTGTATTTTAGCCATGCTGCCTGTTAGGCTTTAGCCTTCTATTCTCACAAGCTTATTCTGGAACACAGTAGCAACCTTAAATCACAAGGAAATTCTAGTTCTAGTACTAGAATGTAGAATAAGATTTCAAAAAACATATATTGTGTATTGAATCACTGGAAATTAAATGCCCAGTGCTCATGAAAATCTAACTTTCACATGCCTGCACTTTTAAAAATCTGAATTTTTCTGTTTTTAGTGGAAGCTGGGAATCTTATATAATCACATGCTGAGCTGATGCCTTACAAAGGGAATTTAATATATTAAGATCTGAAGCAGTGACAAGAATTGGCACATCTTGAGTGGGGAGTTAGCTGAAGTTGAGCATTTATGGGTTCTCAGTTCTCACTTCAGACTGAGCTTTTGAGATATCTGTCTGCCTTCAAGATACAAGTCTGAAAATGCTGGCCTTTGAGTTAATTATTTAGCTCTTGAAGATTTAGGTGGGTACTTATTAACACAAATTAGTTTTGTACCTAAGACTTCCCGTTCGGTCCCCATGTGTTGCCTGATCTCGTCGAGAGGTGGCATCCCTGGCGGCAGGGAGGCTGGATTAAAATGAGCTCTAAGGTCCCTTCCAGCCTAGGCCATTACATGATATGATATGACTTAAATCTCCTTATACCTTCATCACCATTATTTTCAACATTTCTGAGTTTGTGGTTGCCTGAATTGGTCCTGTGGAGATTCACAGCTCTCTAAAACAGACATAATCCTACAGCAGACTTGGTTTTCTAGGTAACATTTTGGGCTTATTAAGATACAGAAATTACATTGTGCAGCTGTTGTGTTAGGGAAGCATCTTGTACTAACAGTGATTTGCACAGTTCTTTCTTAACTTATGTTTTTGTCTCCTCCTACTCTGTGCTCCTCCTTGCTTAAGATGTGCAAATGAACAAGTAAATCTTCCCTAGTAAGGCTGAGTTTTGCTCCTCTTGGCAACTGTGCTGTGTGCTTGAGGAATTTCTTTTAACCCTCTCATGCATTTACTTCTGCTCAGAGAATCTTACAACCAAGGCTTAATAACTTTTTTCCTTTTTTTTTTTTAATCCTGCTGTTTTCTGTTGACTTTATTATATGACTGAGCACGGAAAAGCTCTTCTCCCAATGACAGCCTGTTAAGTAGCACAGTGGGATCCTGTGAAACCTCCACAGCTTAAATAACGGCATAAGTATTCTTTCCATAAAATATTTATGCCTTCAGTCTCTGGAAACATTTTACTCATCTTAGGTTGTATAAAGCTGCATTTAGGGGGAAAGTATGTAATTACAAGCATCATCTTCATGTGACTTGATGGGATTGTTATCTTGCAGCTCCCCAAAACTCCTGAGAATTTGGATTGGTGTGTCCACACAGAGCTTAATAGGAAACTGCTGTCCTGTGGCTGAAAGCTTTGGAAATGAGTAAAAGTTCCTAAAGGAGCCAGAACCCCATGGCTCATTTAAGCCAGAAAATGTAATAACATAAATAGAGTAGCTTTTTGACATTGCTGCTACTATGCTACTGAGGCTGAATGGTGTAATGCAATGACATCTTCCACGACAGCTCAGAGAATATTTATGTGCCTGTTGTTCCACATTTTTGTATGTAAGTCGGGCAGAATAATTCTTGCGTTTTGGTGGATCGTGTCGTTCATTATCTGGGCAAGTCTTCCGAAGTCCAGGATTGAAAACTGAACGTGAACAGCTTTGTAAAAAGCAGTCTTTAAGGTTTATGAACTGAAGATAATCCGTGCACAGGGTTTTGAATTGACAGCAGAGGAAAAAGACTTTGGTTAAGGAAGGTGAAGCTGTGGCTTTTTCTTCTAGAAAAGACTTTAATCTTCATATTGCACTGATGGAGCCAAAGACTCCAAAGTTAAAGATAGCTGGCTTTTCTTAACATGGCTGCAGAAATCTTTTCCTTTTGTTAGGGCCTCTTTGTCTTGTGGCAGTGGAAATTGGTATCTCTGAGCTGTTTCTTTTTATTAAAAAATGATGTTGTTGTTTGCAGTATCTGTCTTAATGAGATCAGTTCTTTGAAATCCCACAAACAAAACTAGACTGGGCATTGCTTTATTTTACATATTTTAGCAAGAAATGTAAAATATAAATTTTATGGTATTTTATATTTACTAGCTGCTTTCTCCTTGCTGTTTGTCCTGAAGTTCTCTGTAAGTCTGAACCTATGTAAATGTTAACCTCTGTAGCTGTTAATATAACTTTTCTGCCTTTTTATTTAACTGCTTTCCCACAACCTAGGAAAAACAAAAGGCTTTTGATCTTCATTTAAAGCTGCAGTTTTTATCCACTGTATTGCAGCAGGTGAGAATGCTTTGTTTTGTCTGTGTCTTCTTGCATCTCTTATTTAGTAAGAGATGCTATAAAGTGTTATTGAGGGTTTCCACATTTCCCGAGCAGAATTCTCAAACTCAGAATGCTGTCCTGGAAATGTCAGGCCTGAAAAATCCTACCTGTTGGCCACAATCGATAGTCATTGCAGAAAATCAATAATCATTGCAGCCCTGCGTTATGATGGGAGTGATGAACAGGAAGTAGACTTTGTGGAGCAGACTGGCTCTTTTATTTGGCATTCTGATGAGAATTTGGTTGTATTAGTAAAGAGGAAAAGAAGACAATGATAAGGTATATGATCATCCTGTTCTCATGTACTCACCTATACTAAGAAATTTGGAAGGAAAAAAATAAAATTTCATTTCAGCAATAAGATTTTTAGCAGTTTCTGACCACAGTGGTTTTTAAAAATCTTTCTAAGTTCTCAGTTTAACACAAAACCCTTAATTCATTGTAGAGATTGTACACAGTGAGTAGGCACATCCTCACTTTGCTGCTGGTATCTGTTGCTTATACTGTGTCCAGGTGCGAAGAAGTTTCATATTCTGTGCTATTTGGGTCTCAGCTTATGAGAATCAGATATTAAAACAGATTCTCTTCTTATTCCCAGAACAAATATATGGATATCTTACATTTTTGTACACATGCTCTTTTTAGTTTGTCTCATATAGTAGTAAGCAAATTAATTGCTTAGCACTCTGTCAGTCATAAAATTAGAATAATTTTTTGTGTCAGAAGATGATGCTTAATTCATCAAAACACTCCTTCTCTCAGCTTTTTCTTTTTTCCTTACTCTCAGAGTTAAATTCTGTGCTATGAGTTTTAATCACCCTTCATTCATCTTGGTTGTCTTTAGTAAGAAAATATCGAGGATGATTTTAAAGAAAAAATATTTTTCATTTTGTGCAATGTCATCAGTGTCCGTTATAGGTACTTTCTCTACAAAATTCTGGCAAATCTGAAGAGTTAAATATTTCCTTGTCTAATTTAGACAGTCATAGTTCACCTCTTGGAAAATAACTTGCCTTCTCATGCTTATAGGCAACTTATCTGTAGGAATGAGGCATTATGAATTATTAAGAGCAATGTGTGTAACTGCATTAGGACAATGGATTGAATTCATTAACAAAGGAATCTAATATTCAGAACTACCTAGCACAATCAAAAAGAGAGACTGTCTTTCTCTGCGTCATACTTGGGAGAATGTCAGTAGAATAATAGCTCGTGATTTAAGATAATTTATCTTTCTTTTTCTAAACGGGTGCCAATAAATGAAGACATTGATGTTAAGGCAGGACATCTTAAACTTGGGCAGAAGAGTGACTCCTTAATACCATAGTTTATCACAGTATACTTGTCCTTCATCAATTTTTAGCTTTCTTTCCCAGTCTTTGTGGTGATGAGGGACCAGCACTCACTTTTTTGCAGTCATCAAGGTCAGGGTTGTCGACTGCGGTTGGCAGTTGGGTGTTGGTGGCTCTGTTCCCTGCAGTGTCCCAGATCTCGCTTGCCTGTGAAGAAGATTAGCCCATGGTGGGCTTTTCAGAACCTTCTCAGAGCTGTGCAAGGGGGAGGTGAGGGAGGCAGGTTGGGGATTGGTTTCATCAAGTTCGGATTCGGTCAGGCTACTTTGAAAAGGATGGAACCAGTGGCAAAGCAACACTCACCTTCTCCCCGTCCCCCCTCAATTCATGGTAAAAAAAAAAAAGAGGGATGTCGCCTCCAAAACAAGGACTCAGAGCATGATAGAGCAGCTTGAGACAAGTTAAAAATTATCATGCTACATGTTGTCAAGAATGTGGTCAGTACTGTCAGGGCTGCTAGTGATGAGGTTTTTGTCTTGCTCTAGTTCATGATCTAACAGTCAATGTCAAACATTCTCTGTTGAGTTGCAAGTCACTGCCTCTCATGCCAGAATAATAGAGCTTAATGATGGCGTAACATTATAGTAGCAAAAAAAAAGTAAAAATGCTAATGGCCGAGTACACCGTGCACAAAAAATAAAGTAATAGAGAACTTAACTGCTCTAAGAGCATTAAAAATAAAAGCAATGATGTCTGTGCAAAGGAAACTTGATGGTGGAAATGTAATAGGCTGCTGAGATGTGCACAAGGACTTAATGCTCATCTGCTCTCAGCAGTTAAGTTGCCTCAGTTTTTATCATCCTTTGTGCAAGGATGCAAATATTGTTCTAGAAAGCACCTTCCAGGGTAGCATCCTTAAGTAAAACTGCGAAGGAAATGCTGGCAGTGTCAGCAAGAACTAGCTGAGACCTCTGAAACATGGTCTTGAGCGAAGCAGGAATCCTTTCCATCTGTCCAACTGCACATAGAAAAGAACGCAAAGAAGTTTTACAAGATACTGTTTGTTCTATTCAGCATGCACATATGTATGCGTGCTTGCATACACACAATTTTTCTTAAGTATTCAATTGCTTTTAAAACTCTCACAGAGACAACTCGAAATTGAGCATCTACTTTTAACTGTCTTTAATATATTTGTGAGTGTGGACATTAGTTATCATAAAAAGGATAAATGCATTTGACTAAACTCTTAGTCTTAAATTCAGGGAAAAAAAATTTAGATTCCTATTTGAATCAGCTGCATCGATTTAATTTGGGAGGGGTGGTGCTAATCCCAGTTGAAATTCGAATGCATCCCAGGGTTTTGAGAAGAAGGGTCGTGCTTTACTTTTCTGTGCTAGCCGTTTGTCCTAGAGATTGCTGCCTGTGTCTGTCACATCCATATTGGTTCTATGACTTTCTTGACAAGATAGATGGGAGAGACTTCATCATGGCATGACAGCTGTCTTTTGGAATCACGTATAGATGTTAGCAACAACCTTTCCTGCAACGGCGAGATGTTAGCAACAACCTTTCCTGCAATGGTGAGATAAATTAAGACAGCCAGAAGGTCTTGGTGGCAATTTGAAACGTCTGCCTACCAGAATGATCTTAATATGCCTGTGTCTGTGGATTTTAGGTGGTTTTTATAGACCCTCGTAAATCCTAAGTTTGAAGTGGGTGGGAGGGGAGAGGGTTGTGGAGCACTAAAACTCCAGGGCACTTTTTTTTTTTCCTTACACGTGTTAAATAATTTTGTCTAGAGTGCTCCACTAGGTTTGCAACCTGGCCATTTGGGGTCATGAGCTGTTTCAACAGCTTTTGACAGTTGCTCAAAAAAAGAAATTAAAACATACGCAAAACCATTAATTGGATATCCCATTCTTCCAAATTAAAAACCATTGAACTCTCCACGTCTTGATTTTATGTCTTCCTCAGGCAGACATTAATCTCTTCTTGCTTCTCCTTAAAATACAGCCCAGAGGAAAGCTGACTTCTAAATGTCCTTAAGCAGAAAACTTTCACAAAGTTTAGAACCTGGGGTGCATTAAGAAAAGTGTGTGCAGCAGGTCTAGGGATATTCTGCTCCCCCTTTACCCTGCCCTTGTGAGACCACACCTGGAACACTGTGTCCAGTTTTGCACTCCCCAATTCGAGACAGGGACCTACTGGAGAGAGTCCAACGGAGAGCTACGAGGATGATTATGGGACTTGGAACATCTCTCCTATGAAGAGAGACTGAGAGAACTGGGGCTGTTTAGCCCTGAAAGGAGACAGCTGAGGGGGGGGGGACCTTATTAACGTACACAAATATCTGAGGGGTGGGTGTCAAGGAGAAGGGGACAATCTCATGTCAGTGCTGCCCAGCAATAGAATAAGAAATAATGGGTTTAAATTAGGACATAGGAAGTTCCACCTCAACATGCGGAAAAACTTCTTTACTGTGAGGGTGCCAGAGCCCTGGGCACAGGCTGCCCAGAGAGGTTGTGGAGTCTCCTTCTCTGGAGACTTTCAAAACCTGCCTGGATGTGTTCCTGTGTGGCTGCCCTAGGGAATCCTGCTCTGGCAGGGGGGCTAGACTAGATGATCTCTAGAGGTCCCTTCCAACCCCTAACATCCTATGATTCAAATATGCTGGAATATTGCCTGTGCTCTTCAGACATTACCTATTGAGAAGGTAGGCTATTTTACTCAAAATCTTGAATTCATAAAGCTTTCTGTCACAAAACACTTCACCAGGAAAACAAAAATCAAAAAATCTATTTTGTAGTAGTTAATCTCTAATAAATCCCAGTATGGGTTCTCATCTTTTGGTATAAGAACACCTATTTCTAATTTAATAAAATCTTTTTTGGAAACTCATCATCAACTTCAAAGGATAATAAAGAAAATTAAGAAATAATGAACACTAAAGTGAGGCTGCAGTTCTTGAAGTAGGGAGCATACATCAGTGAAGATGATGAAGAAAACGTAGTGTCTGGCCTTTATCTTTTTTTGTTCTCTACTCATAGAATAAAAATAAGAATTAGGTACTTGTAAAAGAAAATGGTAAAACAAAGTAACATTGATTTCCTCTTCTGCCCTATAAAATTATTGATCTGTTTTTAACCTAATTGGCACTTGTGAGAAATAAATGGAAAAACCAGTAGGCTGTTGATGGCGATTCAAGTATTTGTTCTGGGTAGGAGAGTCCCAGGTCTGCTCGTTGGGGCTGTGCCACCCGAGCTTAACAAGCTGAAGCTCTGAGTGCTACAGCATATACTCTCTTTGCTTTGTTCTCCTTCCCTTTAATCTCACATATATAATTATTCGGAGAAGTAACAGCACAAAGGACGCTGTAATGTATTGATACAGGGCTGGGCACGCACTACTAAAAAAGTACTTTCTTCAGTGAAAGCCTTATCGAACGTAAAAAAGAAGAGCTAATTAAAGGAAAGAAATAATAAAAGAGGTTTTCCAGTTAAACCCACCAGAGTTTGTGTGAAGCAAAGGAATGTTATTTCTCCTATATCCTGCCTGGCCAACATATTGATTCATACAACGTTTAAACAATGCACAGACATTTTTAAATCGGTTATACTTTCCTGTACTGCAGAATTCACTATAGAGAATCCAAAGACTGTCTGTTTCCTCAGTTCTGATGCACAGATATTTTGTTTGGGGGAAAATGTACAGATGGGTGGGCCCCTAATCCTCACACGTAAATATTTGCAGGTTTGAGGAATGAAACAAATACAGGTTTAAACTTCCCACACGTTCTTTAAGGCAAAGCTAAAGGTGTTAACACGTGAATTCAGTGACAGCATTTGTACTGGTTTCAACAAGCTTTGGCTCAATCTCCAGGCTCTATGTTCAAATGTTGAGCTTGATGCTTGGAGGTACACCAGGTGAAATTTTCTTATCGGAGGAGGTGTCCTGAAGAGTAAAGCTCTGTGAGAATCATCAGAATCACAATAGTTAATGACAAATTCCAAATCAGGAACACTGGTAAAAAGGCTCACAGTTGGTTTTATTTATTAAAAAAAATGGATGGAACTGCATGCTTTTCCTTAGTATTTGTTATAATTTATTTTGTAAATATTTTGTAAAAGATAAACTGACTTTTCTAAAAAAATGAGGATGCAAGTGTTCACATGCTTATAGCCCAGCCTTTGGTTTTCGGGGCTCGCACATAATTCATAGCAAACATCTGTGCAAAACGCTGTCCTCACAGGGCTCCTGATAATTGTTCTCCTGTGCTTGTGGCTGCAATAGCTCCCGTGGATATGAAGACAGATGATTCCGCATCTGTTCGCCAGTATCTGAACACGAAAATTGTGTTTTAAAACCTGTTTAAAACACTGTTGCAAAAATAGCTCACTTGTTTTGAAAGCTGCATGTTTGTGTGCTCCTTTGGGATATAGATTTGGACCATCTCTCCAGTAGAAATTGTGTGGTAGAAGAATTGCATGCGTGAGCTGTTCCGCGTGCTATAGCAGTGTGCGTATACAAAAAAAAAGGCAGCAAATCCTAGTTTTGTTATAGAGATTTCGTGTCTGTTCACAACACTTAGCCAGTTATATTGTACTAGCACTGCTAAAAAGCTGCAGCTATTAGCAAGGTGATTTTACACATTACCTCCCTGTGCTAATTTAATGCTGTTGTTTTCTCTGCTCTTGTAACAAAACAGAAGTACTCTGCTGTCTCTCTCTGCAACATATCTACAGAAGTCCTCAAAGTCATCAATGCCACCGAAGAACTGATTGCAGAATCCACTGGTCCCTGCGATCTCCCAGCTGACATTCAGGAGAAAGGACGAGGGACCTTCCCACTGGGGACAGACCCTGTCAGGCTTGACGAGCAGCTCACCACGCTGGAAGAAAATGTAAGAACGTGAACAAAGATGTGGAGGTGTCACACCAGCATTCCTACGTGAGCACCTGCTGGAAGGGGAAAGCGCATAGGCAGCTTCAGTGGATGCTCAGAATAATTAGTTTTGGGTTGTTAAATATGCAGGCAGGACAAAAAAAAACCCTATTTCATGTGGCTACACATGCCTGTCTTGAAACCACATATCTCACAGTTCCAGCACAGCTTCGTTACCATAAGGACAGGTAAGGAGAGCATGTCCCTGGGCATGTAGAGAAGGGGAGGAGCTCTTCCTTCACCCATGCATCCCCAGCATCCTGTGCTGACCACCCAGGGAGCCAGAGCTGCCTGCTGCTCTGGTAAAAAGAGCAGGCAGGAGAAGCCAAATTAAACAAAGATTTCTTTGGCCACGTCCGAATCATCCATCCTTTTTCATGAAGTCTTGTCATCTAGAGGAAATGGTGTGATGCTGAATCACAGAGGGAAGTCACTACTCACTGGAAATTTTGATGCATCCACTTAATGGAGTTGGTACACTTGTAACTTTCGATTTTTCTCCACTTCCCACATTTAACTGATTACATTTCAGTGTCTTTTCCTTTCATTAGCAGCTCTTCAAGATCTCCTAGGAGTCTGAGGTGATCAGTTCAAGAAAATAGATCCTCATTTTTCTTTTTTTCCCAATGATGCCCCAGAATATTTCATTTCCACTTGGCTGTTACCAGCCTTGTGGCAACGGTCTCTTTGCTATCTAATAAATAGGTGGAAGGTGTAGTATTTTCACAAGGGTCTGCACAATTTAAAGCACAGGTGTCAAAAGCTAACGCTTGAAAATTACTTTTCTGTAAAACAGAGGCCTTCATCCAGCCATGTATCTTAGATTTCTTTGTGTAATGAAGGAAATGCCTAAAAATCAGTGTATCATGAATAACAGCTCTAAGGAGCTGAATGGGAAATGAAAGCTTTACCTGCGGTTATCAGAGGTATCGTAGGTGGGTCATAATATTAACAGTTCTTTCGTTTTAAGGAATATCTCTAAATGATAAAAGTTGGGTTTTCTCTCATGTGTCCCAGGTAAGTCTACTAATCCTCCACAGAGTCACTTCAAAGGGCCACCAAGAGGTGGGAGGGTTTTGGCTGATGTGTATTTAAGTGAGAGCAGGATGGGATGGAAAACTGTGTTGTACATGTAAGCACAGAATACTCTTTAAGTAGTTAATAGCCTTATGCTGCTGAACAGTTACTCTTACAGAGTTTGGATTGCCAGAAGTCAGTAAACACAGCTTTATATGAGGCATGATCTGTTGACTTCCCCTTGTAGGCAGACTCGGGGGTTTTGTTATGCATTTTAATATCAAATATTTTAAAAAAGGAAACTTTTCAGGTGTACCTGACAGCCAGCACCGTGTACGGGCTGGAGGGACAGCTGACCAACCTAGAAGATGCTGCACGCCAGATCAATAGTGTGACTGCAGAATCTGAGCTGGCTGAGCTGGAGGATCAAGTGGCCACAGCAGCTGCCCAGGTTCATCATGCGGAACTTCAGGTGAGGACAGCAGCTCCTCCCAATCTGCAGGTTTCCCACTGTGCTTAACTTACTTCCAATATTCTTTTGTATCGCAGTGTGGGATGGTGATCCAAGGATGCTGACTGCATCACAGAAGCTGAGCAAAGCATAACTGAGATGTGTAACTCAGCCCAGCCAGATGTATTTCTTTGTTTCTTCCTTGTTCTTGGACATGGGAGTTACTGCAACACTAACACCAAGACTGTTCCTTACTGCCAGGCAGCTCACGTGGCATCACATGCACGGCTCATGCTCGGGTTGTACATACGGTCTGAGGCAGTTTATCTCATCAGCAGATTGTAAAGCACTTCCCAAAAGAAGCCAATGTCGATAAAGTTCTACCAGACGCAAGGAAAAAATTATTTACCACAAAGGTTTTCAAGCACTGGAACAGGCTGCCCAGGGAAGTGGCGGAGTTGCCATCCCTGGAGGGATTTAAAAGCCCTGTAGATGTGGTGCTTGGGGACACCTGGCAGTGCTGGGTTAATGGTTGGACTCGAGGGTCTTAAAAGTCTTTTCCAATCAAACTAATTCTACAATTTTATGAAAAAGACCAGCTACTGAGCTATATGCAGAGCCCAGCACTTGCAAGCCTGCCTCAGGATTTAGCCACTGAGCAGCGCATGTCCCAGCCGAAAGGCAATTTTGGGCTGTGATCTAACATCTCTGTAGCAGGCTCCAGAGCATCTGGGGCTCAGAAGAACACATCATCATCTGGTGCTAAAAGATGAACCAGGTTAATGCTGGAGTTAACTGATAGCAACTGATAATGCTAAGAGCCAAGGCTTTCACTGACTGATCTGTATGATGACCTAGCCAAGCCAGGCTTTAATGGTTATTTAACTCAGCTGGAGCATGTTCCATCTAGGTCTGAGCAAAGATCTGGGAAGCTGACACCTCTCTGATGTCAGAAGTGTGTTGCTGCACTAAATGGCAAACTGGCAGCGACGTTTTGTTGGCTTGCATCATTCTTTGATGTTAAATGTTAATGGGGGTGAGGAGGAGAGAGGCCTGAGCTGTGCAAGGAGGATGATAAAGAGGAAGGGCTTCTGCAGAGTGAACAGCTTCAGGTATCACTGTGAGTCAGAACTTGGGTCATGTCTGACTTCTCAGACACTTCTTTCCCTTTTGGCAGTGTTTGTCCGTGCTGGTCTCCTTACTCTGCTGGTCTCAGCTTACTCCCCCCGAGATGTCTGCTTTCTTGGACTTCTGTTTTTCCTAGCAACTTGTTTTTCATTGAATGTTTTTACGCAGTGCGTGCCTGCATTTATGCATGCTTGTGTTTAAGGTACATATACACTTAAATTATAAATATTTAAGATCAAATATTTAGATGTTGTGATGGAGGATATACTTGTGTGTGCATGAAATTAATTTTGAATTAGGAAACGTGTCCCACAAAGTTTGAAAAACACAGTTTGAATGAACTTAAGCACCAAAAATAACTGGGAGGTGCCAGATGCAGGTTTTTTCTCTCCTTTCTTTTTTTCCTCACAAGGAGTAAAATGCCTCTTCCTTGGAGTCACAAGGTAGGTCAGATTGTTCTTTTACTCCATCTTTACTAACAAATTAAGCACCTTTTAACATCAGGACTAAAGAATGCAGGAAAGTGTCAGAATTGCTGAAGAAGTTAGCCATCTGTTTATACTTTTGGATTAAAGAGGAATTGACTGGGGGAGGGATATGTTTTAGTAGTGGCATCCACAGTAATGTTAAAACTTCTTTTTCCCCCTCCCCACCTGTCTGTCTCTCTCTTTTATTTTCTTTGAAGATTTCAGATATTGAGAGCAGAATATCAGCTCTCACTGTTGCAGGCTTGAACGTGGCTCCATGTGTTCGCCTGACAAGGAAACGGGATCAAAAGCAAACGAACCAGGTGCCAGAACATTATGTAGTATTCAAAAAAAAAAAAAACCACAAATATTGGGGAAATCTTGCGTCTTTTTCTGAAATGGAGTTGAGTAATGCATATGTGTCATTTACAGATGCATACAATAGACACATCAAGACAGCAGAGAAGAAAACTTCCAGCTCCGCCAATTAAAGGTGCACTTCAGTTGTTACCTACATTATATAGAGAGAATCTCTATAATGTTCGGTATAATGTACAGTTCAGCAAAGTGGAGGAAAGATGAAGTTGCAAAACGAGCAGAGAAAGCCCTAACTATGTCCACCCACCTCATTTCCTGTTGTACTTGCGTTATATGAAATACCCATTTGTCACGTTCAGAAGCATCGCCGCTTTGTGCAGTGTGACAGTGGCAAATCAATAGGAGCAGAATTAGGGGAGACTGGGAAAAGCAAATGAGGGATGCTGAGTGCTTGCCCCACCGCAGTACTTTTTTCCTTCCCTTTTTTTTTTTTTAACCAAACAGTGCATTATTCCCGTCAATTTTAGGGCTTCGTTCTCCTTGCATTACTCTTGTTTTAGTTTTTAATAATTCCACTGATTGACTTGGCCTCAGACTTCAATGAATTTGAAGTATTGCATCCTGCTGGTTTTAATTTAGACTTAGTCCAGCTTTCCTCATACATCTTATCTCTCTAGAGGCTGTGACTCTTCAGGAATACCATTACATCTGCTTCAGTCTGTTATGTGAAAAAATTCCCTTTTTTGTATTTTTCCCAGATGAAAAAATAGATGATTCTCCAGTTACCACTGTCAGAACATTTAACAGGAACTTCATGCTTCAAGGATCTCTAACACAAAGAACTAAAGAGAGGAAAAGCACTGCCAAGGACTTAATGGTAAACTCACAACACATGTTTTTAAAATGGCTGTTAAAAGAGAGAGAAGTATCTGAGTAGGCAGCTCTATTTCAGCATCTCCACAAAACTTCTCGTAATAGTTTGAGGAAAAAGAGCAGAGACTGCTGAGGCAGCTCTGAACAAGTATGACCAGTGTCCTGGAAGATGTGTGACTATAGACCACAGTAGAGCAACTCCTACATTGTCCACCTGTGGGAAGGTACCCTGGCTGGCAGGTTTCCAAGAATGTGCGACCTTTATTTTAATAAATAAATAAATAAATAAACAGTGGTCCTCTGCAGTTCAAAGTTTCGAACCAGACCCTCACAGACCCATCAGGCAGGTGAGAGTCACCTTGAATCTCGCTGATGTTTGAGAAGTGTTCGAAGGTTACCCAAGCAGAATTTCAGAGGTAGATTTGAACAAAGAGGCTCTGATGGATGGCTGTCAGTCCTTCCTTCTGCAGCAGCTGTAGAGGCATAAGGAAGAAAGCTGACTGTCCTGAAGCAGCCTGCCTCTAGATATGTGGAAAATAGGGTGGGAAGGTGAGAAGAGGAAGGACGTGGTTCCCTAGTAAGCTCATTCTGCGTTTTGCTCATGTTTTTTTTCTTTCCTGTCCCTCTCTGCCCTAGGAACCCACTGTAGGATCTGCTGTGATGTACTAAACTTAACACTTCCCTACTGCCAATAACACACTGCCTAAGGCTGTACACGAGAGTGCCTTTACTTAACAGCCATTGCGTATGTCCAGCGGAAAATGGACCCTCAAGAACCCACAATGCCTCAGTTATAGGGCTTCGTTTGGATACCTCACTGAGAAAGCTGTCCAAGTCTTTCAGCATTGTGGTCTGCTAAAGGAAACTCTGCCTTAAAGTTCTCACGAGACTCTGGAAAGAATGCTGAGTTTCAAAAGCAAGGCTCCGCGTTTTAAGATGCACTTTTTCTCCCTATTGATTGTACTCAAGTATGTCGTCTTTAAACCGCGGTATGTTTTTGTACATCCAGTCAATCATGATTACTAGAATGATATTTCGTACAAAAAAAGAGAGAACAAAGCAGACCCATGAACCATATTTGCTGGCATCTTACTATTCATGTAGGCGTCCTTCTTGCCGAGCAATAAGAACGACTCTGCGCAGCGTTATGCTGCTTCTCAGCTGCATGGTGGAAATGGAGAATCCACTCTGCTCCCAGTGGAGAAGTTTTGGCAGGGTTTGTAGGAGGAGATGCAATGCTCAAAGGCTTCTCCATTCGGCAGAGTCAATGTTCCAGCTCCAGAGTTAGGTATTTTGCTCTTGTTGGCAGGGGGAATGTGGATGGTCATCCTGTGAACCGTGAATTGGGGATGGCATGTGTGGACTAGGTGTCTGTCAAGTTACGATCCTGGCACCTGCAAACATACAAACACTGCTGTGAAATCAGCACCCTTGTAGGTCTCGTTCTCCTTGATTGTGTTAGTGGTGTCCAACCCCGTTGTAGTTTGGAATAAATTCTGGCCAAATCTTTTTAAGATCAGGGAAAAAAAGTTAGTAAAAACAGTGTGGGTGAGATCTCTGCTGCCCGGATGTCTCTTCCTTTACTAGTCTGTAGCCACTAAAATTTCTTCCTCGGTTTCTTGAGACCTTGGAAAGGTACGTCAAACTGGAAGGCCCTCGAGCAGATGACTGGGAGGGCAGATGCTGCTTACAGGGTGCTCCTCTAATCTTTTTTTGAGGAGGACCTTGCCGATTTGTGGTTTGTTTTGGTTTTTTTTGGGCTGCAGAATACCAAGGAGGTAGCTAGAGGAGGTGATAAGCCAGTATACCCTTATCCCCACAAAGAGCAGCGCAGGTACCCAAACGCTGGGTTGATATGAAACATGTTGTGGAGGAGGAGGGCAGGGGCTGGCGAGTCTCAAAGCGCAGCTGGAACACTGTCCCCTGGGACACCAGGGCATGAAATGTTTAAGGTTGGGCAAATAGGAGTGAAATGGAGCAAATTTCCTGGCTAGGTTGAATTTAAGTGAGGAGTGGGATGGTTGGAGAAGCAGTGCCAGTTGCAAATCTGCCGCCCCTGTTTGATGTCGGGCTTGTTGGTGCTGCGACGTCCAGCTGCACGTAAGGAACCCTCGAGATAAACGCGACCACCTTCCTGCTACAAATACATAAGCGTCACCCCACCCCTTCCTCATCTGCCCAAGATATGGCCCAGTGTGTTTGCTCTGGGTGAAATTTTATGCCTTCTTTTACTCTCATACTGTACTTGTTCTCTGAAATTGGTTTGCGCACATGTGAGGGCAGAATTTGGCCCACTCTGTTTAATATATAAATATATATATATAAAACTAATAGATTTTATTTATATATGCAATCCAGTAAAGGAAATTAAACAGAGTAGGATGCCTAATATTTATTTTTTTTTAATCCAGTCTCCTCCTCCTTCCTTGACTGTTCTCGTGTCCGTATACAATACATTCCCAGGTTCTGGTTTATGCAGGTTTACGAAATGTCATTAATGGTGGTTGGTTTACATATTCGTCTAATAAATAATAACTAATATTGTGTATGTAATATCAATACAGAAATTACTAATTTTAATAGAATAACTCTTTGGCTTTTGTTCTGTTAGTGTGATTTAAACAAGCCAACAAAGTTTGGAATAGGTTGTTTTCCTTAAGAGGCATGAAAAGCAACTATTATCGTGTCACAATGTTAAAATATTCAGTCTTCTTTGACAGAAAAATGTGTACTGCATAGGCATTGCAAAAAAAAAAAAAAAGAAAAAAATTTAAAAAAATCCCACCTGCTATAAGGCATTTGAATTTTTACAAATGTTTATTGTGCCAAATATGTGCAAAGATATAATTTACTGTTTTAAAAAATCATAAAAGCATATGTTATAGCACACAAAGAATTATTTTGTCATCAAGTGATTTCAATCTTTAGTGTTAATATTTATATTTAGATTAATTTTTATAAATTAAAATATTTTAATGGGTGAAATGAAGACTATATGATCCTATTTGATTAAGTCCGAGTGAATATTAAGCTTGCCTTGTTGTTGTTATCTGCATACCCACTGAGAATTATTGTCAAGAGAAACGGTAAAAAAAGAGTAAAGACGATTTATGAAAAGAATGCCTTTTCAAGGACTTGATTCATAAAGAAAACCCAAAAGTTCTCCTCTGTCATTTGGATTTCTCACGCTCGGTACTGCCTGCCTGTGGTGCCCCTGCTCAGCTCCGTGGAATCACCTCGCTCGGCTGAGGGGAGGAGCAGGCGGCAACAAGCTCCCTTCGCATTATTTTCTGCTGGGGCGGGTGGAATCCTGTTGGGAATTAGTCTTCTAGGAGTTAGTCCTCTCCAAACCGTCTAGTCCATTGGGCGAAATATTGTCTCAAAATGAGAAATGAGTTTCTCGGGCAGAATTTCTCTGACTTCCACTGGGATTGCTCTAACGCAACAAACTGAGCAAGAGTCCTGCTGATATTTCCACACAATAAATGCTGATCAAAATATTCCCTTATCAGCATATTTCCTCCACCATTTAAACTCGCATGTTTTAATTAACACTTTGGGGCAGCTGATGTGCTGTATTATAAACAGTAGTAACTACCTAATGACAATAAAAATCTGATCCTTGTTGTGACAGACTGTTTGCAAAGATGAAGGAAACGGTTAAATGATCTGCAGTGATTAATTCAATGTTAGGAATAATTCTAACAAAGCAAAACCAGAAATGCAAGTTCATTCTAATTCGCGTTTTGCAGATGACCTGGGTTTAACCGTCACTTGTTAGCTAAATTGTAAACGATCCTTCTTTTTGGATATAAATCACAGATTAAACTGCATTGGAATATTATTGCTGATGATAGTTATTAATCAAGATGAAACATATTGTACACAACACTTCTTATAAAATTAATATAAACATAGTACTATGGAAAATGTGAGTGTTGAGCCACAGCCTCAGGCTCATCAGTGTGGACTAATGTAGCGGCTGGTACACAGCTTGTGATTCTCAGTGAGTGACTTGGGCTCGATCAGGTAATTACAAACTTAAAAACAAACCACATTGTTTTAAAGGGAATTGGCTGGTTTAGGCCCTCACTCTTTTTGGATAATCGTACACAGATGCATGCAGGAGGCACAGAACTACTTCGAAGAGTTCAATTAGCCAATTATTTTTTCTTCAGCGAGGAGAAAATACTTATCTTTGACAGGAGCTCTTTTCTGTTCATTAATGTATCTCTCCAGCAGTACAGGAGGGCCAGTGGGTAGCTCAGGGCTACATTCCTACAAGTGGATGTTAACTATGTATAAAAACTCCACAGAGAGCACCCGTATTTCATGTTCCTACTGCAGCTACATTAAAAATTAGTGAGAGCCTTTTTTCTTCCAACTATTTCTTTTTATTTTTACATATCAACAGCTGGGGACTTTGAAATGCAACAGGAAGGTTTCATGGTATGCTTAAAACTGCAGGGTTTACATTCCAGCCCAAAAGCTGTGTGGTGTTTTGGATAACCCTAACGTTACAGTGAACTGCATCGCGAGTTTGGTGGAGACGTAAGACAAACATTTATTTTTGTAAGCTGTGGCAGCACTCTCTGCCAGTGTCCATGCATTGTCTTTTACTTGAACACGTTTCTTTTTGAAAGAACTTATGCAAGGAGCAGAAAGAAGAGCAGCATGGGATTGCTGGGCAAAAGCAGAGCTGGAGGTCTGAGGCATAAGGGAGGGCACACTTCAAAGAACAGAGGTTGGGCCACCGCCTCAGGGGACAGAGATCACCAGTCGTTGTCTTCTGCGCGCAACACTTCTTGCTCCCACAGAGCGTTCAAGATGAAATCCAGGTGTCTGCTCAGAGGCCTCAAGCTGCCGCGGCTGCTTCTCAGCTGCCTCTTCCCAAACCGACCAATGGGGCGAACACCGCGCCCCACGTACCAAAAAGGATCAATCTCGGGGCCTGGAATTCAAAGCAGTCAGTGAAGCATCTACCATTGGAAGTGGAGACGGCATTTCCCAAACGCCTTCAGAGTGTTAGAGATGGTTTATTTGTAGTCCGGGGGGGGAAAAACAAACAAACAAAAAAGGGGGGGGAAGGAAGCAGCCACACACACCGCTTTCTGGTGCCTTTGAGGGTTGCTTTCCATGTGTAGAGCCTAAAGGAAGAGGATTCAGATGCAAATTTCATTTTGATCCATCTGGGCTGCAACCTGCAATTCTAATGTAAGCCAAAGTACCCATCAAATCCAGGAGGCTACCACGTGCTTTAGAACTGATCTGAGCCCTGGAAGAGGTTACAACATGGCTTCGTATTTTGACTTTCAGACAACTCATGGTTCCAGACAGAAATGAAGATGCCTCTAAAGTGAATTTAAGCTTCTGGCCTTGCTTGCTTTTTATGGTATAGAAGTAGTTGTGAACTCCTCCAGGCCTACAGAACACAGCTGAAAATTTGATGCTTAAATATTCAGTATATGCTGCCTTGCATTTTCTTTATCAACTTTTTACATGTAAGTATCTTCTCTGGTATTTATCAAAAATGATACTATTTCCCTTGAGTAATTAAGGGCTGTGAGAAGGCCCTTAGGTTCTGTATATGCACTTACACGTGTAAATGGAAGTACGGGGCCCTGCACCACCGCATCCCCATAGAAACACCCACATGGATTTGCTGCTGAACTTCACCTGAACAGCCCAACCCTGATCCCTTGATGCACCAGAGACCAGGGGGCTCACCGTTTTGTTACATCAGGTGAGACATGTACTTACTTCTATTGTCTATCTGGTGTTTAAATGGCCTGCTCTGCCCTGAAGCAAAGCCGAGTGATACCAACAGCACCAGCACATAGACAGTGACCAGCTTGAAGTGTCTGGGTGACCACTGGGCACGTGGTGTCCACGAGATTGGATGCCACATGATGGAACGGTGGCAGGAAGGCTGTGAGGGGAAAAGGGAACACGAATTGAGTTACAATTTTAAAGGTGAAAGAAGGTGTCACCTGTTAATGGCGTGTTCCTATCCATCAGAGCAGTTTCATGACTGACTTCTGTGAACTGCTGATGCTAGAGGGACGTCCTGAGTGTTTCTCTTTGAAGGCAAAGCTGGGAAAAGCACATCCAGGAGGTGAAGGAGCTGCCTGCAGAAGTCAGCAGGAGCCCCGTTCACTTAAGCATCACTTAGCGGCAGATATACAGGTACGGAGGTAAAGGAAATCATCTCGGCTATGCCTACACAGGGGCTTCCCCTCATGCATGAGTGGGATTTTTTGCCTCTTGCTGACAAAATCTCAGCCTGCTTCCAGTGCAGGTGGAGCAGAAGTGAAAAATCTTTTGATGAAAGATGGTCCCAAGCACACCTCACAGGCAACTGACAAAAGCACGTGGATAATCTGGTGGTGTCTTTCATGAAAATGCAAAGGCAGAAGTTCCTTAACGCCTAGTATTCAGTGAAGATTTGTGGGGCTTTTCTCCCCACGCTGACAGTCTGCCTCTCAGCACGGCAAACTCAAGCTCTGCTGCAGATCCATGGAGTTGAAACCTATTGTGGATGTCCCCAGACGATCGAGGTACCGTTAACTCTTTAAACCCTTAGAGATCAGCAATGTGGCCCCTCCGCTCCCAACACAAACTCGAATGGCTTTCACGTATGAAAAAAGCAGCATTGGACATTTCTGAGAGCAAATCCCGGATGAATCCAGGGATTCACCTGCGGCTGCGGTAGTTCAGCCATGTTGCCTCAGTATCATCTCCTTCTCCACAAAAAACTGGACAAAAGTTATTGGGCACAGAGCACAGCTGCATTGAAAAGCTAAAGCCTCCCCCCAGAAAAAAAGAATTAAATTCAGCAAGAAAGAGCCAGGAGAAGCGCTGAAGCAGAGGGAAGCACTCACCTGTTTGCACCAAAGCTGCTCTTCAGGTAGCTACTGCTCCGAGCAGAAGCAGGGCGGCTGCTGGGGGCTTGTGCCTTTTATACTGGAGAGAACTGGGCTTAAAGCAGGGAGGAGAGAGTCAAGAGGTGGGCCAGAAGGACGTCAGCAGCACTGGTGAGCAAAATTTAAATTTATAGAAGGAGGGGATAGAGAATTGTGGCTCTGTGAGAAAACCATTGATCAGGGCAGGAAGCAGGAGGCAAGGACGGCGTCAGGGCATTGCTGGGGGGGTTCTGGCAGGACATCTGGCTGAAGCCCCCTCCCCAGCCCAGGAGAGCTGAGGGGAGGGGGCTGCTGCCATGTCCCTATGAACGGAGAGACAACAAGGACACAGGGGGTGGGGGAAACACTCGTGGTGAGGGATGAGGTGTGAGGAAAGAGAGGAGACAGATGATGGGAAGCTGTCACGACCAGCAAGCTGGAGCAGCCAGGCCACATGCCTGCCCCAGCCCTCGCTGCTCTTGCTGTTGTCGCACGTCTGCTTTTTGCCTGGGAACCTCACTGGAAGGCAGCTCTCATCTCGTGAAGCCCCAAACCTGCGGCTGGGTCAGCTCAGCAACACCTGAGTTTCAGGCCATACTGCAACAAAGCTGATGAAGTTGTGATTCAGTGCTTAAGCAGGTGCTCACCGGTTCTGTGGCTGAGGAAATTTCATCTGCGTGAGGCTAATATATGTAGGCAATATTGTATTTCTACATCAGGTATCTCTTCTGCGCATTTATTTTTAACTCTGCCTCTTGACTAAAGTGTCATTGTGGTCTTGCCATTAGAGATCTTGCTGCTTTAACAGCTAAGACTGAGTTTGGAGAGGAGCGGTGGCTGAACCAGCAGGTTTTTGCTCCTTTGACACCTTCCTGGTGACAGTCTGAGATACGCTGGGCTGCCCAGCAACTGCAGGCTCTCTCACAAAGATCTTTGCAGCTGCAGAGTTGTGCTCCATTCCTGACGAGGCTGAGTATCTGAAGAAACAGTTTTTAAAGCTGTGGTTAGCAGAGCGGGGCTCTAAAGTATGACCTGGTCCCCAAGCCGAGACTGGATAGAAAATGCTGCGATCTCATTAGGATGAAGCAGAAGTTCCACAGCAAATCTGTCATTTAGTTTTTTTCTCTAAGAGTGCTTCTGGTTGGGAAAACCTCAAAGTACAAATGATGCTATTTCACTGCAGACACCTCCCAAAACAAAAGAGATTCATTACCTTTCCTTTCCTAGGTGCAGTTTGTGAGATACTTCTACAGGGAAGCATGGTCGAAATTTTGCCCTTACTCAGAATCCAGGCATCAAGTAGGTGACGCCACCACCACCAGGGGTATGGTAACTAATTTTGGGGATTAAAAGTAAATTTCTCATTTATGTATGTAGTTTTTTCTATGGTCACGTGTATGGACACAAACAGTAAAGAAGCCTGGGAAATATTCTTTCATTCTCCAGTTTCCACGTAGTAACAGGAAAAAGAAGTGACTTCCTCATCCAAGTTTTCAAGAGTTTACTTAGACTACTCAGAATTACATCTGCAAAACATGAAGAGCACTTCAAGCCCATGATAGCACAAAAGGTCTTTCTACAGCTAACATAATCAATAATGTATATATGTGCTTTCTTCAGCAACCTCCTTTTAGCCTGTTCCCTTTGAACCTTGCTAACACTCCCTACCTAAAAATCAATCTGCATCCAAGAATCAGGAGGTGGCTGCGCTTCCGCCATGCTAATTTTGTATGCGTGGAGAGGGTATCTTAGTAAGTAAAAACCGTCTTGGTTTTGCACTGTAGATCTTTTCCTTTACTGCTCTTCACATTGCTTTTGACCAGAAAACGTGGATATCCTTTCTTGATCTCCAGTGGCTGATGGCTGGAATGAAGGCTTTTTCTCTCCAGGACACGTAGGACCCTCTCTTGTTTTGGTCAGTGATCCTATAATCTTTAAACAGAAGTAAAAGCCTCTTTCATCCCATTTACTCTTTCTAGTCTTGCTGGTGCTGCAACAGGAGCCTTTCAACAGCACAGATCACCTCCAGGGACTGCCACCTATGTGGAAGTTCCCATGTAAAACAAAACTGTGCCGTGTCTTCATGTTAACATGCTTATTGGTAAATGCAGCCTGTGAAACAATATGCCATATAAAGAAAAATCATTGTTAGGAGAACTGGCATTTGAAATGCTCTGGTATGATCAGCTGCCTTCATTCCATTTCAAGTACTTCTTCATTTTTGCTTTCAGTCATTCTGACTTCGTGAAAGGCTACTATAAAATGTTCTAAGCAATGAAGGCTAACAAAATATGTGACAGTCTGTTTAAATGAGCCTCATCAGGCATTTCTCTTATTAAGGCACGATTGTACTCCATCCTCACTGATGGCAAGTTATCGTTTCTTTCCACCAGACCATGACGGAACTACCAGAGTGCGATCTAGAGTGCTTGAAAGGTATCTCCTGGAGGCTGGAGGATGAAGTCCAGGAGGAATATTCTTTGGGAAGGCAGCACCAGAGGCCAGCAGTGAACTACATTTTCGATGCCAAAGAACTAATCCAAAGCTGATGTGTTCTATACTTCTTTTTCACAAACAGAAGGTGAAAACCACCAAAGGAAAGACAGTTGATGCAGGTGGATAGAGAAACACAAACATTTTCTTCCCATCCCACCACTCTCATTGTTTCACATACCAGTAGTAGATGAATAGTTTCCAAATGCCAGGAACTTACTGCCTGACCCATGAATCTGCTCAGCCTTCTGTACTGGACTGCTGTGTCTGAGATGATAAAATAAAATATTGCTGGTCTGATTTCACTTAGCCTTGAATGAGAGCGGGTGGGAGAACACCAATGCTTGGGCTGCCTGGAGCTGGAAATTCCTACCTGACATTAACTATGGAATGTTTGATGGTAAGAGGCCCCCATTGCAGTAAGCTTGGAGGATTCATGAGAAGTTGTATTCAAACCTGTTGTCAATTCAAGCAGCTAGGTGAGACTGTGAATTACGTGTAGCTTCACACTGAAGCGTTCTGTACTAACATACAGGTTCAGAGAAATTTTGGGAGCTATTTTTTTCCTTTGAGAAAGAGGACCATCTAGTGGTTAACAGAGAAATTATCTTCTTGCTTACAATCATTATTGAGCAAGGAATGAACCTCTTCATGTTTCAACCAAGAACATGTGTAACTTGAAATCTCAGCATGTTCTGAAGCTATACCCAACTGCATCTAACCTAGATTCTGGGAAGTTAGACTGGGTATCTCTCTGGATATATCTATCTGGATATCTATCTGGCTATCTATCTAGACTGGATATCTTGCTGGATATCTAGCTGTTTACCACCAGCACAGTTGCTGGGTTTTTTAGCATGTTTACCGGAAAAATTTGTTTTCAGCTGGGTGGCTACAGCTCAGATCAGCCCTTCCTCAACACACTATGAAGGCTTTGCACTAGAGTTAGAGCTCGGATGGAAATAACCCACAAGTCAGGCTTGGCATGGTTTTGCAGTCACTCTCGAAACTTCTGCTGACAGCGCAGATAGAGGGAGGATTTCTTCCAACACTTTTGCTGTTCTTAGCTGGATATGGTAGGTTGTGTCATGTAGCGGGAGCAGGGAAGATTACGGTTTTTTAACTCAAATCAGTTTGTTGATCTGGAACTTTCTTAAGACGGGCGCATGCCGACATTCGTCAAACTACTGCAGTGGTGATCCAGGCCTTGGATCACATGGTATTCCTTTAAGAGGACTGAAGCTTAGTATAAAAACCCAAAAAAAAGGAAAAGAAAAATAAAAAAAAAGGAGAAATAGAGGTTCTGGCAAGCTGTGCCCCTGCAACTAGGTTATTGTACATCTGCAAGGCCATGAATCGCCTCCCTGACAAACTCTGGAATGCTGGCAGCACCCAAACGAAAGGGAGGGCAGAAAGAGGGGGACACAGCGAGTTTGTGGAGTGCTTCGCCCAGGGAGGCAGCCCTGCGGGAGGGGGGTTCCTCCATGCGGGGGGATCCCTGAGAGCGGGTGGGCGACGGAGGGGCGACCCTGCC